GATAGTGACATGGACATATTGAGTTGTTTTTTGAGCCAGTCAGATGTGCGGTGTTGCGTGGATCTGTTTGTATTGCAGTGTGAGTTCCTGTATCTTAGCCCTGTTGCTAAAAAGTATTCATGTTCTAGTTTTTGACCTTTGGTCATGACCATATAGTGTTTTGGTGGTGGGGAATCTAAGCATCTGCCTCTGCACCACTAAGTCAGTCTTGGGATCTAAAACAGATTTGCGATAAGTTGTGGTAAGTTCAGTAAAAATGAATTGAACTGTAAGAAGCGTTTTAAAGCAAAACACCGCACAGATGGGTGTGAGTTTATCTAACAACTGGAAAGTTAATGTGGCAATTCTTTTTTTTATTTTTTTTAAATCTCGTGCAGTCCTTTTCTTTGGGTTCTTCTATAGCTCAGCTGGCCATCTGCTAATTGGAATGTTGGTGGTTCAATCCCTTGATTCTCCATTCTGCATGCCAGAATATACTTGGGCAAGATACTAAACCCCAAGTTGGTGTTGGGGTGTGAATGCGTGTGAATATTCGATAGAAAGCACTTAGGTGAAAAAGTGCTTATGTGAATGTGTATGAAAGCACCTTGAGTGCTCAAGTAAAGTAGAAGAGCACTATATGAGAACCAGTCCGTTTACAATTTACCATGACAACTTAACCAGTAGTAATACAGCTTTCATGTCCCAAAATAATCCACCAGGAATATGCACGAACACGTGATTCCTGCTAGATGCTAGCTCTATTTCGGCTTATAGAAAAACTGAACAGGTTGTGCCCCATATGTCAATACTACTCTGATGGATTTGGTTTTAGTTTTGAGTGATCTAAAAACCTCTACACACATTTCGGACAGGAAGTGATGGTATCTTTGTAACAAAACACTCAAATATCATTGTGCTTATTTGCAGCCACTGACAATGAATTAGATCAGTTATTAGTTACAAGCTGCTATATTTTGCTAGAACAACTCAGCACTGGAAGAAGCTTCTGTGTGCATAAACAGTTCTGCATTCCATAACCTTACTGTTTGCTTCCAGAGGCTGCCCTTGAGCAACTATTCTTTCCAGGCATAAATGCCCTTTAATGCAGTCAAAATGAGGCGTAGGAGCTAGTAAGTGGTTTCCATTTGTAAAGTAAACTAACTCCAACTCACAATATCCCATGTAATATGGATGAAATGCATTAAGAATGAGGGGAAGAATACTGTTAGTGAATGGGTCAATTGCTCAAGGCTTCAAACCCCAAAACACAGTTTCTGTGTCTACAGTTTAACTGCAAAGCAGAGATCAGTATGCAAATTAAAAGTTAGTTATGCAACATTAAGTAGAGTGACCAAATATTTATGCATTATTTGCTCTTGTAATTAGCTTATATTCATTTATGCCCCGTGGATGCGACTGCCTACACACATGCCAGCCTGTGATTTGTGGCTCTCAGACGAATTCACTAATCAGCTTTGACCTACTCAGAAAATATTAGGCTCTATTAGGAGCCTTGATTTTGTGTGTGTTACTTAGGTATATGTTTTAACTTATGAAACCACTGGCCCTCTTGTATTTTGCAGCTTTTTTTCCTTAAAAATCCGTTTCCTTGCTGTCTGATGTGGCAGTCTGCCCACAGTTGTTAGTTGTGATTGAGAGTCAGGAGATGCCACCTCAGTGAAAAGGGCTTTTTCATCCGCAGGTGGAAAGCAATCATAACTTCAATTTTTCAGCAGCTAAAAGTGGAGCAGCAGATCACACAATTCAGCAGTTCCTTTCTTGTTTCACTTGTGACTCAAAAGATTCCCCTTTAGGTCTCTGACTGTGATTCTGATGTTGTTGTTTTTTCACTTTTGGTCAAACTAACCTGTTCAATTTTTTCATTTTTCTTAGAGTGGTCCTGGCTGCTGAAAGCAAAAAGCTAGGTTGTCCTTTGTGCCTCCTGCTCATGTGTTGGCTCTTAAACATTCACACACATCCATCCATCAAAATGGAAATGGAAAGGTCAACAGATTTACAGTACATGCTACAACCTGTGGGTTTGCAGAACCCTTAGAAAAAGTTTCTGTTTCTATGCTGAAGGGCAGGCTTGCAGAAATATTCAGTAAAATTTTTGCATCATACTCATATTTTTTTTGACATAGTTCTTTGTGTGGTTGTTGTTGTTTTTGTTAATGTCCTTTTGCAAATATCGATTATACAGTAAAAAAGTGAGACATTTTCTTTTAAAAAAGTCTTAATTATTTTTGACAAGTCTTTGATTTCAGACTGGGGTTAATCAGGCTTCTTATTTTTTTCTGCTATCAACATTTGTTTGAAATAGCTGTTTATCAGCTGTAGATAGCTAACTAGTTAACAACCTACAGTTTAGCTACCCACAAGTACATAACTAGGCAACACGAGGTGGTTAGAAATTCAGTTTATGATAAGCGAGCTATTCAGTTAGCTGCTAGTGGCTGGCTAGCTAGCTTACTACATAGGCTAGCTAGTTTGGAATTGGACAAAGACTTATAAAACATGTATAGGTTCACCTCTTCATCTTTTAAAACTTTAATAGAAAAATTATCTGTGCAATGATAAACATGAACAGCTGTGGTTAAGAACTGTATATCATGTACTATATCTTTACATTGTGTATCCTTTTTTTATAATACTGCATTGTTTTCCTTATGTTGACTGTTTAATGTTGAGTTTTTGGAAACTGAACTTGGGGCTCTGACTATGAAAGAGAAGACACTTATTTATCATTCATAACTCAGCAAAACCCTAATTCACACACTAATCTATCATCTATATTAATCTAAATTGAAATTGAATACAAATTATCATACCATATTTCGTAAGACTTTAAACTAAATAGATATATGGTTATTTTTAAAAATGCAGGTTTCACCATGAACTCACTGCTGGAGACTACTACATACAATACATACTACAAAATCATTGAACATATTTTTGTAGAAGGTCTAGAAGGTCTGTAGAAATTTTTATCTGTTTACAGCCACTGGTATACAGCTTCCAGCTGATTCTTTAAGTGTTAGTAAGCCTGCTTTCTGCAGTAAATTGGCATCTTTCTGTGGGTAACCATGACTTGACCTGCAACTTACAACAGTTTCTGAGAAGGTGCTATTTTTATCATGAAATGTGATAAGGTACAGATGAATCAATCAAAAATAAATATGCAAAATATGAAAGCTTAATGTTGTTGCACTTTTGCAGGGACACATTTGCTCTAAGAATAGGCACCTTTGTACACTGAAATATAGAATGACTAAGTTATAGAAAAGACAGAGAAGAGTTTGTGAAAGACCTCACACAACAATGTATTGACTAAGCTTTTTCAAGAAATGTACAACTGCCAAAAATAGGTCGTTTGCAAAGATTTGAAACTTCTTGTTCAGACATATTGATTGTCTTACATCAGTCCATAAGTGCCAGACCTAAGGAATATAAAATTAGACTGGAGGCTTTGGTTTTATTCACATCTCCAGCAAGGTTTTAGATTGGATGTATTTAGAAATCTGGAGTATCTGAAGCATCTCCAACAACAACAACAACAACAAACCTTGGATTACCCCAGAAATTAAAGCTGTCCTCAAGCAGAAGAGGAGGGCCTTCAAATCCA